TTGAATATATAATGAGTTTTTAAATTTAAATATTAATATTTAATAAATGAGATTTTAATTTTTAGATATAAATTAATACTTTAATTATTTTTGAAGATTAAAATTAATAAGCACAAACCTCTTTTTATTAAATAATGATATAGGATAATTTTTTAATATAATTTTAATATATCATTATATAAATAAATATATTTAATATCATAAATTTTAAATAAATAAATAAATTTAACTATTTAAAAATAATATATAAAATTATATAAAAATAATATAAAAATTATTTTTTATTTATTAAATCGTACTAGTTAAAAAAAAATCAATAATAATACTCAAAATTCAGATTTTGATTCTGTCAGTCATGTCCATCCTCCGCAGCGCAGATGATCATCATAAATCCCACGCCATACCGCCTCCAGATGGTACGTCCCATACCTGACTTCCTCACATTCTGTCTTTCACTCTGAACATAATTATGGCCTTTTTCGGGTTTTGAAAATTCAGTGATTCCGCATCTTAATCTGAGCGAATCAGACTATCAAAGTGGCCATTGTTATGTCAATGAAAAGGTTTTACGAAGTCTTTCTTAGGCTGCGGGGGCTAAGATATCCCAACAATCAAGGTGAATAATGCTATTTTTCAATGGGGTTTGCTAGGCATGTTCCATTTTTTTATTCTTGTTAATGATCAACTAAGGCACATCAAGGTAAATCTTAGTCATTCTTTTTCATGGTAAAAAATTAATGACTGATTTTTCTTGTAAGATTTTGTGTAAAAGCATCTTTATATATATACATTAAAAGTTAGTTATTGTCATTATATTTATTTAATCTTAAATTAAGAATTTGTGGTTAGTGAATGTCATTTTGATTAAATTATTGATGATATTGTTAGATTGTGAAGAGCATGAAAATATGCTAATCACAATTGTAGTCACAAATATAAAAGCTTTCACTTATTCTAATAAAAGATATGAGTTTAGACCACATGTGTAACAATTTATTTTTATATTTTCAATGTTTGAATATTAACCCCTTTTTTTTTTCATAATTTTAATAATTTTAGTACAAAATAGTTGTTTCAAGGTGTTATCAATTGAGAATTGAGATATCTTTTGCAAACTTTAATTTGATTGTGCATGTAGAGTGTAGATTTTGAGATCCATTGAAGCACACCTTGTGTCGAGTTTGTCTTTTTAAATGCCTCTTCAATCATTTCAAGGATAGAACTAGAGATGACAACGAGTCCTCACAGGAGCAGGGACTCCCTCCTCATCTCTTTCTTCGTCAACAATGGGTATGGGATCCCAACGGGGATTTTTGACAGGGGTAAAAAATAATCTCTATTCCTATACCCACAAGAAATGATAGGTTTTTACAGATATTCGGAGTCCCCGTTGAGTATTAAATACAACTCAAACATGTAAATACATTAATATTTAGTGCAACAAAGCAATATCTAGTAACCAATTGCAGCAAATACATATTACCATACATATCCAATAGGTCTATCAATAAGTTCATAAAAAACAAAAATACATGAATTACCATACATGTTCAAGTTGGGTTGGGTTATTGAATTGAGTTTGAGAAAACTAGAATTGGAAAAGGAATTGGATCGGGTAATTTAGGTTATGTTAAGTTAGCCAATTAGGTTAAGTGAGAAAAAATTAATTAGTAATATATTTATAAAAATATATAAAAATCAATCTATACATATTCTTTTTATTATATATGGATTCTTAGGGTTTTTAGAGAATGGAAGAAATTCCTCATGAAATTTTACGAAAAAAAAAAGTCTCAATTCCCATCTCATGGCATAAAATATTCTTAGAATCTCTATCTCCATTATAAGGATCTCGACGGAATTTCATGGGTCTCGAAAAAATTTGTTATCCCTAGATAGAACATTATGTGTTATTGGTCAGTTCTTTCAAAAAAAAACAAAAGAAGGTCAAAGAAGGATGCGGGAGAAAATTTTGACTCATGTAAAGACCGGCCTACCTTGCCTATTGAATTGCTCCATTGGATCGCTTGGCAACTTTTATATGTTTGGGGAACATTGAATTCAACTCATTTTGGGGAACAGGGTTGACGTCAAACGTACAATTTAGATGGAACATCATTCTCCCTTCCAATGTTAAGTAGCTATCCAATACAATTTGCTCAATTTGCTGTTTCTGGTTCATTTCAAACAAGTAATGTTCCCAAGGATTGTATCTATGTTCTAATATCATCAATAACTGTTATTGCTATGGAAAAACTGTTATATAGTCCGAATTGCATCAAATTGCGCAAAAAAATTATTTGATGCCTCCTCTAATATTGAAAGTCCTCTTCCTATCTAATGATTCTTAATTTGCAATTTAATGTAAT